CATACAAAATGCAATATATTGATTATTATAAAAAGACATAAATGCAATATATTGATTGATTATTGTAAAAAGACATATTGAATATCATAAAAATTAATATACATAACGTGCAACGTATCATACATATACTTATAATACTGTGATACATTTGATGCATACGCCGCGCATACGCCGCGCATACATACGTGATCATTCGATGCATACACACTTAGATATAATACATACGCATATATACATTACACCGGAATCCGATAATGTCCCCACGGTAGTGTCTCCGTCGAATTCGGTACAATGTGCCGTTTGTCGTCGTTCGGACTCAGAGCGATTTTCGTTTCAGACACCGTGTATACCTCGTGCAGCCTCGATCGTATGCACGACTGACTACGAGTCATTTCTATATGTTCGTTCAGGCATCGCGTGTAATCATCGAACGTTATCGTCCGCGCTACGACGTTACTCTTGACCCCCTTGATCTTTTTGGTGTCCCTCATACCGTCCACCCTCACCGCGTACATCTTCGCCCTGAGCCCGACGAATTCTGTCATTATCGCGCCATTATTCTCTTTCTTCATCAAACCCGGCACTTTTTTATTCGCGCGAGGCGTACCGTACGCGTTGTCTATGGAATAATCGCTCGTGTCGAATCGATCGATATCACGTTTCATCGTCTCGTAAACATCCTCGCACTCGAGGTGGTATATGAGACTGTCCGTGTCGGTGTACATGACCTTGCACTTGTCACGGTACAGCGGCAACATGTAATCGTGGTGAAATTCGTACAGGCAGACTTTTGATATGTCAAGTATGCACATACCCACGTAAATCGGCTTGTAGAATTGTACTTTGAGTTTACGCAGTTCGACGGCGATTACATTTTCCGCGAAGACGCTGCGGCTGTGAAAATTCGGTTTCGAGATCAGCGCCTCCGCGCCGTGTCTACCTCCCCATGTCGTCGCCACTCTCACGTCGACGTGCTTGCACGTTCTCCATGGTCTTACCGAATACCGCGTTGTTCATTAGGTTGTACAAATTTTTTTCGAAATCGTTCCTAGCCTCGGTTCTGAATTTCGTATTTAGTTCGTTGTACTGGCGAAGCCATGGAGATTGCAACACGCGGTGAATCTTCGTTACGCGAAGGCCGTGGCGAATACATTGCTGCAGGTTGCGGTAGTAGATGACGTAACGCTTCTTACCGTTGAGCGTCGCGAGGAGCTTATAGTGCCGCGTGCCGGGCGACTTATCGCGCGTCGGGCAGAAAGGTACGTCAGTGTGCCGGTCGTGTAGATATTGAAGATACTCTAGATCGACTTCTAGTATATACCCCGTGGGCGAATCCAAAGCAATCGCGCCCCAGTAAAAGTTCTCGGCATCGTCGACCCATCGAAAGTTGGCGTAGGGCAACGGCTGACACATCGCCTAGCCGTACAAATTGTTCACGTCGTAGTACATTAGATACGACGACGGTTTCGACGGGTCGTACAAAGACATGTACTTATTGTTGGCCCGCGCGTATATGTTGGAACATTGACTGAGGCCACCGCGTATACCGCGCTCGATAAACAAGACCATATCGATGTCAGTGAACAGTTCGAAATTTACACGCGTGTGTTTAAGCATGGCATCCCACGTGAAACCCGGCAACGTGAAATAATGGGCGGGATCGAGTCCGTAACTCGCGACGCAGCTGTCGCGAAAATTT